CAGTGTGTGCTTAAAGTAGGGTTGCACCGATTTGAAGGCTGAAAGGGATCGTTTTAGACTGATAGCATGTGACTTTCTCTTTTTTTCTTTTTGTCATGAGATCTGGTATCTTTAGAGCTGTGTCAATCATCACATAAATCCCACAGTGAAAACAGCATGAGGAGCTTTGTCAGGTGTGAGAACACGACCATGATGATGTCATCGAGGTTACCTCAGCTTGGGGTTTGAGACTACAAATTTATAAGTTGTGTTACAAACTGGAGGCCTGGATTTGATGGATAAAAATATTTACCACACAGGGAAGGTGAAGCAAAAACATGCTACTGTGGGAAACGGGGGATTCACCGGGGAGGATATCTGACCTCTCGGCCTCTGCTACACCAATTTTGTGCTTTCTTTTTAAAATCTGTGTCTTGTGAGTAGCATTAAAGAAGTGCAATACTAAATCACCGGTGCAGAAATCGAGGGCAAGAAAAATCCTCATGAAATTGAACATTTTTTGAAAATACATTGTTTTAAGGGAGGGTAACTAATAAAGTGCATACTAATAAACTACTAATACATGTACTGTAGCAGACAACCTGCGCACAGAACAATGTATAGACTGTTACTAATATTAATAACTGAGAGGAAGTAAAGACATCACTGAGCTGTTTCCTAGCAACAAAATTCCAAAGCTGTTTGCAGCAGCATCACTCCGTCTTGTTTACAATTTTGTGTTTTACACTTGATTTATTCCCTCTGTTCCAATCACCTGAAGCACGCAGCCATGTTTACTGCTGATTGTTGGCAGAGTGCCTGGGAAAGCCAGATCAAATTAAAAGGGCAAAGTATGTAAAGCTGGTAAAATGTTTGACACTGCTCTAAAAATGTTATTCTGTAAATAAACCCTAACAGCTTCAAGACTGAGCTATGCTGTGTTTATAGGCTGCAGCTCATTACTGTTCCATTAGCTTTGATCATGACAAAAATGACAGCAGGCACCAGGCCAGCGCTGCGATTAGACAAACAGTCGACTAGACATTAAAGTGACAGGTGTGTTTAAGTGCTGTAACATCTGCTGAGTGGCTATAATCTGCTGCGTCCTTGAGCAAAACACAGCTATCAGGACATCAAACCCTTTAAATCCATTATAAGCCCAGCAAGGCAGCACAAACACAGCTCTAGTCGCTCAACATCACAACCTCATTTTCAATTAAACCCTCACTGGTTTATAGATTTCTCTTTACAGGGATGAAAGCTGCTCCCTTCATTTGGACAGAATTCATTTCATCACCACGAAGACTTTTTCTCATCAAAGTGGAAAAATCAAAACCGTTCGCCTGTGCTTATTACCTCCCTCCTCTCCCATGTGCCGCTGCCGCACTTCATTCGACAAGGCTGTCACCGGGAGTGACAGCGGAAGGATTATTTCTGAAATGTCTCTTTTACGATTCGAGCCTCCATTCATCGAGTCTTGGCTTTCTTTGAAACAGAACGCTTGGCTTTTCTTGTTGTCCTGTTTTTTTCTCTGTCTAAAAACAAACAAACAAAAAATCCTATTGATATTCTTGGCTTATATTTTTTAATTAAAGTTTTTTTCCAGCTTGTTGTGATGGGTCAGCCATATCAACAAAATACACAAACTACAAAATATTTTTTTTCCTGAAAATGACTGACCGTTGCATTTTTATCCAGATCAAGTTGCCAAGTAGAATTAAGCAGAACACAGTTTTGTGATTTTGTGAGTCATCCTCCCTTTGCACTCCCTCGCCTCATACTACTGGTCTGCTGTCTTGGTCGATGACCTCAGGCTGCTAGGGATCTTAGGAATTCATCAAGAGGATCATTGCCATGGAGACAGCGGGGCAACAAACCCAGTGAAGTAACCCTGGCTTGTCTTTCAGCAGGCCAGACACTGTTATTGGGCATGAGTCACTGTGTCTGTTGCTCTCTCTCACACACACACACACACACAAATATGACTCTCAAAGTGTGTAGCATACATACAGATATGCAAACACACTGTTCACCAGATGTGCAGCCTCACTACATCAGGTGGAGAGTTGGGAGCAAACTTTGCAGAGCTTACACACAAACACACACCCAACCCTTGATGAGACTGAACCGCCGCCCCCTTGTGACCCTTTTTCTGAAATGATGCTTGTTATGTGAAGATGAAGGTGTTTTTCACTGAAGAGACAGACAGAGTGAGACTGCACATGGTTGAAATATGAGGCCATGTAGTCAGAGTGTTTGTTTTTTATAAATCAAATCAGATGCTTTGGTCAGTTTCTGCTCAGATCAAAAAACATTCATTGATGTTATAAATGCTAGAAACAAAATTGCCAAAAATGCAGTGATTTTTGCAGAAAATCATCCACAAACATCTCTTTTGGATACTGTAACTTCCTGAATTCATCTCTAAAATAAACAAGACCCAGGACTCAAGATGCCTACCCCCTCATTTTTGTTTCATCAGTCATTTTCAAATCAGTGCCTTCAAAAGGCCCAACATTGAATTCAAGAACAATAAGTGTCATCCAGCATTGTTGTCATCTGTTCTGGAACCTCACATTAAATCCTATTTAAAGTTCATTTCTCTGCATCCCCTCTTGGTTTGGTCCAGAGTTTGGCTCTCATCACTGGTACCAAACCCCTAACAGCTGCTGCTACAGACCACGCTGCCACTGAGGCAGCACCAGAGACCCGACACAACTGTCAACTGGCTAATCTGATTTTCCCACCATGTGCTCAGAGCCATGACGTGCCAGCATAGAAATGCACTGAGGGACACAAACACCAGTGCCTGTTTAACAAAATCTCAGGATTGCTATTGATTCAACCATCAGCCAGACATTTTGGGGTTTTCGCCGAAAACGTTACGCAAAATGACTAAATGATAAGTGAGGAGGTTTTGGTTCGACGCCTTACCAATGGGCACTTTAAGCAGGGTGAAACAAAAGACCATGGACAAAAGAATACAAGACATCAGACTTGTGCCTTTACATTTCAGCAACTCAACATTAAGCTTCCTCCCCAAAACCTGTAATTTCTCTTGAGGAGCTGTTCATTTTGAAACTGTAATGAGCCTGAAGTTGAGGTGAACAGTATCTGTAAACCCAAGAGGAGTGTTTAAGAAGCAGATGGTGGGTGCAGTCTAACTGCAATTGAAAGAAAAAATAATCAAGCCATTTGTTTTGGCAGCTACATGTTTAGCTTCCACAACTTCTCCTTAGTATCGTTAATATTGCTGCTATGATTTCCTTATCTTGACAAGACCATAGTCCAGCTCCTCACCGGCCCCAGTTCACGTGACTCACACCCACACACACAGGTTTGCTTGCCAAGATGTCCACAGCAGCACGAACCTATGCCAAACAATTTGGGGTGGGGATGTAGCTGCATCAACAGAGGTCTACGACGATGTGAAAACAAGAAGCATGAGCGCTCACGACTAATGTTCAGACGATAGTAATCTGTGGGCAGAGGGAAGGTATCGCCATGGTAACAGCTGCCCTGTCCTGTAGAGACAGGGGGGAGAAATGAGGCAGAGAGAAGATAAATACATCCCTATTTGTCAAATGGGGAATTCTTGTGAGGATTAAGAGGAAATGCATACACACCCAAAATGGAGTGTTAGCCATGTAACTGTGTGCGTGTGTGAGAGAAAGAGTTAAAGAAAGTGTTACAGATATTAAAACATTTTGACAGAAAGAGGAAATATGTGGTAGAAAGAATAACTAAATTGAAAAGAGAGGGAAATGTGCCTTGGTAATGAGGACTAAGCGGAAACACACACAACAAAAATAGCGAAAAGTGCAGAGGCATAAAATAAAAAAGAACAGAAGAAATACAGAACAAGCTTGGAAGGGTCGTTTTCAGAGAGTGGGTGACTGACAGCCAAGCAGGAACCAGAATATTTAACCAGGGGGCCCTACAGTCTGTGTTGGCCTCGTCTGAATGCTGCAGCTCCTGGCCTGATGTGAACCCACCCACTCATCTTAACAAAACCCATCCCGTATCGGTTTTTCACACACTTCAGTTTCCAAGGAAACAAAGTCATCTCAGCTGCTGGACAGACACGAAACTGAAGAGTGATCTTTCCTAAACTACTCTCCACTGTTCTCATTGGCCAAACAATAACAGTGTCTTGAAGGGAATCGGCAGGGCAAGATTAATTCAGAGCTGTCTGTGAGCGCTGGGGGACACGTTCTGCACATTCATCCCCGCAACACTCATGCGTCAGCAGACGAGGTGAGAAATTGAACGTCAAGAGAGCCTCCTGTTCTTTCCTTTTCATCACCTCGTTATCCAGCCTTTTTCTTGCCTTCTGTCTCACTTGCGATGTTTTCCCATCTCACACTCTTCCCCACCCTCACCTGATGTTTCTGTTTCCTTGCTAATCTTGTGCCCCCTTCACAACCTAAAACCTCACAATATGATGCAAAGACAAACCACACACACGCACGGTGCGAGTATGTGAATGAGCCTATACATCTTTCATTTGGTGGCAGGTGCTCCGCTGTGGTTTAAATAGAACTATAATCTTACACCGAAACCCAGAAAAACCTTAATATCTGAATGTGTTTGTTTCTGGAAGGAGGTCATCAAATATAACAGGAAGACAACAACCAATCTGTAAACTTTTGTAAATGCACATAAAAGCAAAAACACAGTCCTTCACTTCCAAGTTTCTCCTTTCCACAGGTTTCACATGCCTGAAAAATTCTCTGGAGTGGACCTTTCTCTCAGACAGGGGCAGGGTGACAAAACTGATAGCTTGCCCCCCCCCCAAAAAAATAGAGGAATGAGGAAATCATTGTTTTTGTTCACCCAGTGGTTGTATCCTCTCAAAGCTCGTTCTGTAAATCCATCCCTTTTTGACTCCAAAATAATGATTTTTAGGAAACTTTAAATCCCTGCAACATCAGTGCTGCCTGATGGAGATATATTTAGTATCACTCCAGTGAGAGATGTACTTCATAAAAAAAAATCCTCTACCCGTTCCGGTCCCCCCCCCCCCCAAACTCACACAGGCCCTACTAGTTTCACTAACTATTTCCCAGACTTTGGTAAACTGTAAGGGTTCTCCAAGAGGTAGCGGTACCTGTCATAATTCTCTAGCATGTGTTTGGGGGCATACATGTGCTCCTTGGGGTCCACGGGGGGATATTCCTGCAGGGAACCATCAAACCACCCCCCTGTCTGGATTAGCTTGCGGATGTACTTGAGGCTTCGCTTTTCTTCATAGTCACCCCATCGTGGAAAGTCTCCATTCTGCGCTGACACCAGTTTGAGGTGGATCCCGTCTGGTGTGAAGCACCAGGAGCAGTGCCACCCGGCAAAATGGAAGGGGCTGCCCAACGACCACTGCATCACACCATTGTCTGTCATATTTTTGTACTTGCGAAAGCCCGGCATGGTGTAGTATTCTCGACGGCGCAGTTTGATGCCATCACCATCATAGACATTGTAGAGCATCCCCACTGTGCTGCCGGAAACCACCTCTAGAGAACCAAACTGCTTCCAGAAGAATCCATACAGTGACTAAATGTGGAGAGAGGAAAAAAGAAAATATAACCATAAACAACATGATAGTGTTTTCAAAAAAAAGGGGCCAGAGTTAGAAAGTTGCTACAAGAAAAAGATAATTTCATACTTCACACAGCAATTCACAGAAAACAACTTCTAGAAAGCTAACCAACTATATATATATTGTAATTCACTATATATATTTTTAAAATCAGTTTTATAAAATTCGTATAGGAGCCGGTATTGAAGTCAAGGTACCAGTATTGAAAACACACACAAGCTGACATGTTGCTGCTACCTTTCGCATGTGGATGGCGAAAGGTTCTGTCCAGCCATCGAACAGTTTGAGGAACAGGATGCCCTCATGTGCTGGGATTTCATCGGCATCGTTGATGATGAAGACGTCGTCCGGCCTGACGCCCACCACTCTGGACATGCCATTGCGTGTCAAGAAGGTACGCAGGTAATCATCAGCGATCCAGCCGTCCTGTCGGCCACCCTCTGGGAAGTGGTTGAGGAACACGTACAGGATCTTGTGACGTACGTAGTTGTACGTACCATTGAGAAGAAGCCGCAGGAAACTAGAGAGGTTACAGACATTATGCTTCTAATTTAGGGGAGTATTTCACGAAACATTACAGTTCCATTAGTTCATGCATTGTTACATTCAAGGTTCAAGGTTCAAAGGACCATACCAGGGGGCATAGGCATCATTACACCCCTTTTACTAGGGCATGTTCCCAGCACTGATCTGTTGTGTCCTAGTAAAAATATTAAAAAAAGATTACACATTTGAGTTTTAACAGGCTCCTGTATTTGGCAGTTGATTAATTTAGATCAGAGAGATGACGGTGAGAGAGGTAAGACCTGGCTATAGTTAGTAGGTAACCAGGCGTGGCTGTTGAAAGCGAGTTAAATTAGAGCTCTGTACATCAGTGCATATGATCAGTTAGACTACTCTTAAAATGCTATTTGTCAACATGAAGTGAAATTAATGCCAGATACATTGCATAATCCATCACATGCTTTGATGTTCTTGTCATAGAGTCCAAATAATGTTTGTTCTATGCATTTTTAATAAACTGGTGAACCCGAGGCAGGAAAGGAAAGTGTAGGGGAAGCTGTGCAGGGAGACGGGTATGGGACCACCAGCCATTGGAGAATCGATATGTTATGTGGCCTTATGAATTACAAAAAAAGCGTAGATTGTGTTTTTCTTTAAATGAGTTATCGCTAGATTAACTTGTGAAAGTTTAAATCTGACAAATCAAACTGGGGCTGCTTGATAATGTGAGATGCAGAACAATCCAAGGAAATGTCCAATACTTTCTGTTCTTAATGCATGTTGGAAGAAATATTTTCATAAAAATTATATCTCTACTACTCTTACTAGAAATGAATATATTTCATACCACAGATAGTAGTTTTGTAAAGCATAACTTTTTGGATGTATTTTCCTTTTTGCATATTTCTTAAAGTCTGTTGATAAACCCTTAGAACCCAGATGTGTTACATCACCCCTCACAGCATTCCGTTTGCATTTTTTGGTCAACACAACACTATCATTGCATAGTAATACAGTACAAACTTTTAAAACTAATCTGCATTTAAGGGGTGTGTAACCATTGGTGGCCCTGTGGAGCAATGTACTGAGGCATGGGTTCAACTTAGGTTTGCATCTCAGTGCTCCTACCGCACTGATTTGACAGATGGTGCTGAGAAATTATGCACTGGCAAACGGCAGGACAGAGAACAACTGCAAGCCCTTAGAAGCAAAGCAGCTTTTAACATATAAAAAAAACTGGATATGCAAATATATTATGAGGTACTGTAAGGTAGACATCCAACATATTTGTTGGACCTCAGTGATGCACACAAAGCATTTTGGTGAGAAAACACTGAATGTAAACACAACTTTAACCGTTTACAAGAAAACTCCAAAGGGTACTTTTTAAATCACAGTACCAGTGCTTGTTATTTATTGGTATGGATTACACAACTTTAACACATTTCAAAAGTTAACTGATTTCCCCACAGGAAAAATACACCCAAACTGTTGGCAAACAGTGCATGGTAAAGGTAACAAAGGTCCTGGTTTGACAGATTATGCCTTTCACTACAGAAAACCCAGTGCCCATACACCAAAGAACAACTCAATTAACCTGCTGATATGCAAAAGAGGGTGTTCACCGAGTGTAGCTGTTTTCATGCCGTGTCACATTCTATGATTAAACACACCAATCTCTCCTACCAAGGCTGTACGCAGAGTCAATCATGTCGCTCTTGTCATAATCTGCTGTAAAATTGCTCCTGGGGTATTTCATGCTGTTGCCAAAGGAACTTCAGTGAAATTCTTATTCGGTGCACTGGCACTCAAGAAGCGTGAAGGTTGGCTGTAACCTAAGACTGCGAGCTGTAAACAATAACTTCCCATCGCATTGGCGAGTGTCCCAATTGGGAAAAAGGTTCTGATTTTGTGGAACTTATGCATATTGTACTGAATATTTATGAAAACAGGATAACTTAGGCATCTCCAGGTTACAGGGCCTCAAATAAACTCTTAAGATATTGGTATAGTATGGCCACTGTTCTATATTTATACTACTCTCATGACTGCACCGATGGCTACAGTGCAGCTCAGGTGAGGATTACACATCTTGCTTATAATTTCACACACAAACACCAATCCAGAAACGTGTCTTACCTCAGAGGCCGTTTGTCTCCATAGGCAGTGAAGTTGGATTCACATACAAGGAACAGATCAACGGCTGGAGCGAGTTCGTTAAAGCGTACGTGTAGCAGGTCAAACTCATGGTTAACGTTGATTGCATTTATCACCCTTCGTGGGCGCTTTCTGGGTCTCAGCTTATCCTTATTGGGCAGATTGGAGTGGTACACCATGGTGGGAACCCCGCAGTGTGGGCCGTGCCATCCTGGCCGACACATACACTTAAACAGTTGATCCCCTTTGTCCTGCTTTAATTCCAGAGGCTTCCGTTGCACAGCAGCCCCAGCTTGAGGACCTTCTGCAGCTTCATTGGCCCCTTTCTGAAGGTACTCCTTTGTCCCCTGCTTAAAGCACCAGCCATTTTCAGTTTTAAAGAAGTAAGACGTTTTGTCCTCCTCAAGCTTATGAGTGCGGGTATGGAGGTCTCCCATGGATTCTTCGGGATCAGGCAAGTGATGAATGGGGATCACCACCTTGGGCTTTTTTCTGGTAACCGGGCCCTCAGGGAGGTGAGGCCCGGCAGGTTGAACTTTGTGGCTGGCGTTCCGCTTCAACTGGTCTTCAGCTCTCTCCTAGAAAGCAAGACAGACATGGGAAATGGTTAACTTCCACCTATAATAAATACAGTTTGTACACTTCAGTGTCATGAACTAAATCGTACACTTAAAACAGCATGAAATTTAGGGTTACAAGTTGCACATTTTGAGAGCAAAATACAAATGGCTCTGTACCAAAACAAACATGGTTTGAGTTTCTGACCCCTGTTCTTCCAGTGGTTCATATATAATCATGTAACAAAACTTTATATGGCTGTTTTGTCCTGCACCAGATGGTATGAAACTGTGAGACAAGCTTTGACATGGCTGTTGTATTACACTGAACGCACAGCCAACATTTACCTGAGTGTCTCCCATCTGATTCTCCTCTGGTTCCTCCCAGGACTGAGGGGGTGCCAGCTCCTCTCTCAGTCCTACGTTGCCAACATTCCCAGCCTCGCCAATCATGATTTCATTCCCCATCTCTCCTTCACCACCTCCATTAACATCTGGCAACTGGCGAATAATTTGTGGGGGCTGGGCCTCTTCTTGGAAGGCGGGGCTCAGAGGGGTGGTGGCCACACCTTTCTCCCTCCAGAAGAAGCCGGTGACCATGATGAAGGACTTGATGTTGGGGTACGGAGCGGAGAGCTCGCGCAGCACGGAGACGTAGAGGATGGCCTTGTAGTAGTGGAGGAAGGAGATGACGCACAGGCCTACCGTGCACAATAAGAACACCCTGTGCCGCCTCATTTTCATCCTGAAATAGAGAAAGGAGGAGGCGGATGGGGATGGAGAGAAATGAAGTGCAAAATGAAGTCAGTCTGACTAACAAGATCAAAAAACAATTTCCATTTTGTAATAACCTATTTCCATTTGCAGTATTTACAGCTGTGGGTGAACCTGCACCTGGTGTTCCTGAGTTGTTTAAAGAAATAACAAAAGGAAAAAGAAGTAAGAGCCACGAAACTGCATTTTACCCTTCAGTGCAACAATGCTGTTGTCTTCTCCTTTAACTACAAGAAAGCAGCCAAAGGGGTGTAAAAATACCTGTTATTAAGGAAAAAAGGTTGAAACTATGAAGATTTTAATTGATGTTTGTGACACAAGGGACCTCACGGATACAAGCTCTTTGTACACAGGCAATGAAATTAGCTTGATTTGATTAGGGATTCAAATATGAGACTGAGACATTGTAAGGCATGACAACAAGGCACCTGTGGCTCAGGAGGTAGAGTGGTCATCCCCCACCGGGAGGGCGGCAGTTCAATTCCCATTCTCACCTTGAACAAGATGCTGAACCCCAAGTTGCTGTTGTCAAAGAATATTTGGTCTCCAGAAAACAGAGAGCTGATCTACTGCACATTTTTATGACATATTTTAAATCTTTGGCCTAAAGCAAATAGCAGGTATTTCAATTGGTATTCAAATCTAAGTCAAGTGTCAAGAATTTCTGAATTGTCGAGTTAAACCTGAGGTTCACAGATTTCTGAAGTGCCTCTGACCTGAGGGAGAGTTGCAAGAACTGCAGAAGTGCAGTTGTGGCAGGAATACATGACTATATACTGTGAAGACAGAAATATAAATACTCCAGCTTCTCAATACACTGCTTCTTCCAAATATAAATTAAGCATATAAAACCTAAGTTGACAGAAACACAATGGCAAGAGAGGAGAGGATGCCAAAGAGGAGGTGATGGGAGCAGAAGGAAGAAAAGGAGATGTCAGTGTAAAGGAGGAGACGAAGTGGAGGCTGGTGATGTTTGGTGTATTACTGAAGCACTGCGCCACCTCATCTCCCACTGCCACGTCCTCTCTGCAACCAACTTAAT